GAAGGTGGGGCCATCCCTGCGGTGGGGTCATCCGTAGTGCCCACCGGGAGCGACTGCATGGGTGTCGGGATGACCTGCTTTGCCCAAGGCAGCAGCGGTCACGGCGGGCGACCATGGCGGCCTAATCTTAGCCACAGCGCAGGGTCATCATGAATACATGACAATTGGACGGTCGGTGCCTTAACCTTACACCATACTAAATGCATTGAAGCTGAAGCGAACGAAATGCGTCGGACTACCAGAATGTCCCCCATGTCAATATCTTACCAGTACCCCCCGGGGACCTGGATGACAGGGTTGGGAGTCACTATCGGTCAACAGTTGTGTCACCATTCGATGGTCAACCAACCCTCCCTCAGGCACCCTCTCAAGCGCATATCTCGGGCTGTGCATTTCACCCTGGCACAGGGCCGCTGACCAGCCGGGGGTTGTCCAAGCTTCACTCCATAAATTACTGGCGTGCCGACACGGATTCGGAATCTGCAACCTTGCAACTACCAATCCTCATCCTTAAGGATTGTCTATTCCGGCGACAGAATGTCCTTCCAGTCACACACACAAACGCACGCCTTTGAGGTCCATTCCATGCAGGCCCCTTGGACTGCCTGGCTTCAATTGAGGGCTCGGGCTCCTTGCATAATTGTATGCAGTTGTTCCTTGGCTAACGAGTTTTTGATCCTCAACCCCCCTCTCAATCTCCCCCTTGCCATGTGCAACGGCTCCTCCAGCTTCCAAAGAACCTTGCCCACCTGATGGCTGCTTCCGTGCAAAGATGCGCATTAAACCCTTCATTGGGGAGGCGGCGGCCCCAGCCGGAACCGTTTGCTGGTGTTGCAGCTGCTGGTGCTCAGGGGGCGCAGTCAGCGCAGTCACAGGCCCTGCTGCCGCCTGTTGAGGTGTTGGTAGCGCGAGCTGCGACTGCATATCTGCAGGTGGCGACTGCTGGAACTGTTGAGGATATTGTTGCGGCGGAACCATCTGCTGCGGCGGGGGCATCTGCTGCAGCTGGGGTTGGTATGACAGAGCCTGGCCCAGCTGCCCCGAGCTGGGCGGGGATGGGTACCCGCCAGGACTGCTCACACCAGCGTAAGAATTAGAAGGGCCTGCGCCTCCTATTGACTGTTGCGGTAACATTACTGAGCTGCCGGGAGGCGTGTTTACTGTCAATTTCGCCTCTGCACGTTCAGTTCGAGCACGATGGATCGTAGGCCAAAATTAGTAAATGTAGCACCATAAGTGATCCCTGCTCCACCTCTGTTTTGGGTGAGGAGCTTTAGGCACACTGATTGCTTAGGTCCGTAACCGCTATCGCGTCGCTGCCCGGAGCCTATCCTTTTATTGTGGATTTGAGATCAAAAAAAGTCCATATGGACAGTAATAACCGCAAGCTTAAGTTACAAACGCGCATTCGGCAGTGTGTGGAATAGGTTTGTCACTTGGGAACCGTAATAAGATGACCCACACATAAAACAGGTAGACAATACCGTATTCATTCACGAAAATACATTTGCTATGCCGTATACATGCTTTCCCTGTCTCTTATGCATGCCTTCCATGGCAAGGCGCAAGGCCTCCCTACGCAGGAATGGGGATGGAGGGGTCACGGGAAAAGAGCTTTTCGGACCAATACACATTCGAGATAATCTTTTTCTTATTTTTCACATTTTTTACAGCTCAGCTTCCCTGTTATGAGTGCCTGTCCATTTGGAAGCGACGTTGCAAGCTTAAAGGTCAAGAGCGATTATACGCTGTTCCAAAGAGGGTAATCAACATCTTCCACTATGCTAGGCGCGAGTTTCTCCAGTCGTACGATGATTCAAAAGTTTGCGTGCCATGCTTAGATTTGCGTTTGCTGTACAATGTCGTGACCTTGAGCGGGTACAAAATGTTGCCGCGCAGTCAGTGCTGGTATCAAAGCTTTACACGAAACTTTCATTTACTGATATATAAGCTCGTTGGGACGCAGGTCATTACGCCTCGCGAACCC